TTTATCTATTATTGTCTAAAACATTAGCCAAATATATATCAGTAAATAATATCATAAACTAGTGATTCTTTTAAATCTTTTTATTTGATATTTTTGTGTTTCTCATCGATATCTTTGCTCATATTAATTGAATTAAACTATAGTATAGTCGTGTAGCAAAACAACACTAATGAATGTGTACTTTAATAAAGAGTATTGAAGTAATGAAAGAGTGATTGAGAGAAACTAAGAGAGAGAGAGAGAGAGAGAGAGAGAGAGAAAGAGAAAGAGTATTGTAGTAATGTTTGGTCTGTGCGACACATTTAGTGAACTCATGTCTATAATTGTGTTTTGTGCTGATCTGTGAGCCCATTATACAAATGACAGACCCATCGACTGGTGCACCCATTGAAACGATACTTCAATTGAACACTATTTGGTGACAAAACAATGTATTTGCCGTTAGTATTATGTATTAATTGACACAAATTCCTGTCATCTAATTAATGGCTGAACATTATCTTTAATAATAACAAATCTTATATATAGTTAAACATAAAAAAATTTGTTTTTGTTGTATAATTATTATGTTTATCTTTATTCTTAACATTATAAATATCAAACATTAAAAAATGTATGCATCACATTTATTTATTATATATAATATAGAGTAAAAATGTGTTATTATTAAACACATATACTTTATTATTGTATATAAGCTGTATTATTATTATTATTATTATTATTATTATTATTATTATTATTATTATTATTATTATATATTTATGTTTTGTTATAAATCCAAAATTTGTTGTGATTTGTCTTAAACATAAAAAAGATTACAATTTATGTGTCAAAACATATGTGTAATATATTGCTATAATTCAAATAATCTATGCGACACTTAAAAAAGCTTGCAATTCACATAAATTTAAATTTTTGCTCTCTTTCTCTCCTCTCTCTCTCTCTCTCTCTCTCTCTCTCTCTCTCTCTCTCTCTCCTCATTTAACTCTTGTGTATTCAAAAAAGAGAATATTCTGACACAACATTTGAAATAAAAGACTTTTATTATTCATATATAAAAATATACTCTTTTTATCAGATAATTCACAACCATTAGTCAGAAATCTATTATTAAACCATAGCTACTGTTTTTTAAACTTATTTTTATCGCTAACTAACACTAGATTTTAAAATTATTATAACTTAACACAACTTTAATAGTATTACTAAGAAATTATTTTCAATTTAAATAAAAGAGTTTCAATTTTTAATCATTTTAATAAAAGTTTTGTGAGACAAAAAATAGCTTATTTTAAGCTATTACTTATTATTTATAAAAATTATTATTATACAAATCACTAATGACTTTAAACATAAAAACTTAAATCATATTAATGAAACAAATTTATATACAGACAAAAATTGAAATATGATTTTGGGGTTTGGGTTTATATTAAGATTTCGTATTATCATAAAAACGATATTAAATTAAAAATAAAAAGAGCGGAAAAATGTCTCATTTGTCTGTAAGTGATACTAAAGAAAAAATAGACAAAAATACAGTATAATGAATAAAATATGTTTTATAAAAATAAAACACAATTTATTATATCTATTTAACAAATTTTTTAATGACTTATATTGTCATTTCATTATATTTATGATGCAAAATAAGCAAATATCTTTTTGCCTATTTATTTTAACATGATGCATTTTATTATATAATATAATATATATCATATTTTTTATATATAAGACTGTTTAACAAAATAAAAAATATAAGTAAAATATCAAATACATCACTATATATTAATTGGCTAATTATATGGTAGGGGTTACTATCCATTCAAAGTTAAACTATACAACTACTAAATATATAGTATAAGATAAAAGTGCAAATTCAGACAAATTGTTTTGTTTGTTTGTTTGCACTCATTTCTTGTATTAGTATTTTTTTAAATATAAGTAATATAGTATTTTTCTGGTTGAGTATCACATAAACTAAACACAGAAAAAATACGGTATTGTCGGAGCATAATATTTGTTTAGCAAAAGAGAAAGAGAGTAATGTTTTATTTGACAATAATTAATGAGAAATAGTTGTGTTATATAAGTTTCACTGGGAATACAATGCAAACTCATATTATTATTGTTGTATTTTTTGTTGTAAAAAACACAAACTTAGTTACAATAAATTTTCAGTCATTTTACTCATTGACCTACCGTTCCCTAAATATTTTTTTATCTGAAATTATAAACATCTAAATTATTACTTCAATGGTCTCCTTGTCTTACTATAAATATATATATATATATATTATATGTTTTTATTTCGATATAATAGTAGTACAATAACGACAGTTGTTTCAATGTTTCAAATAAAATTATTTTTAATAATTTTTTTCACAAAAATAAAAAATATGTTATTTATTACAACATATATTATTGTTGGTCAGAAAGTGTTATAAAAGTCAATGCATTATTAAAGCAAAGTGAAAATATAAATAACAAAAAGTTAAAATGAAAAATCGATTTTTTCAATAATTTGTATAGTTTTTATTATAATACATAAAAAATTATTATAATATTTATTTATATGATTATCACAATAAACAACCTTATATTTTACAATTTTTTTTTATTTTTAAACTCTATGTTAAAAATTAGATTTATGTAAAAAAAATTTTATAACATTTGATTTTTATGGTCTCTCTCTCTTTCTCTTTCTTTCTTTCTCTTGACTCACTATTTTATTATAATGTTTAGTTAATATTATTGTTTTCTTTTATTTATGTTTTTAGTTTTTATCACCCATTTATTCACATCTTTATTTAAATAATAATATTATTACTATTATTATGACTATAATGTTGTCACGGCTTTAAAGTTAAAATTATTTTCCAAACAAAATGACTTTCCATTAAATTTTTTCGCCATTTATTTTCTGTAAATATTTCTAAAGTATTCAACATTTTTTACAATAAATACTTTAATAATATTTATTTCAGTGCTAAAGTATACAACTTTTAGTGACTTATTTTATTTATTTTATTTTCAAAGTTTTAAGTATGTTTAACATAGTATTTTTGTGTTTAATATTTTTGGTTAATTTATTACTTTATAAAAATAAAATTTAAATAATAATAATAATTAAATTTTAAAGTGAATTATGTATTTGTCAATAATATAGTACATGTTTAAATATTTATATTTTAGTTTAAATTTTATAAAAATTGCTATATTTTGACATATTTTGAGCAATCTAAATTATTTGTAATCACTATTACAATAAATAATCAAGCAAAGTTGGCAATAATTTATTTAATGTAGTTGTATAAATATATATTTAAATAGTTTTTAACGTTTTTATTATAGTTTTAAAATAGATTTAATTTGACTTGCAAAAAATAATTTATTAAAACTTAAATGTAAATAATATTTATAAAATAGAAATTTTTGTTAATAAATTTTATTTATTTTGTTTTTTGGGTTATATTTCATAGAATTTACAGTTCAAAACAATTCTTTTATATTAATAATATTAAAACATTAAAGTTGATTGAAAACAGAATTTTGATATTGAATTTTATTTTCTAATATTTTTGTGGTTATTAAACATAAAATTTCAAATAAAACTAATAAATATATATAAAGTCATTTATATGATATACAGTATATATATATATATATATATATATATATATATAAGATTTGAGAAAATTTATAAGAAAATTTTATGCATAACTTCAAAAACATAAGAAATCTAATATTTAACAAATATATAATCATTTTTTTTTTTGGTAAAATTGTTTAAAATTTACTCTCATAGTAAAGTGCTTTAAATATCCGGTCATTGAATTTAATAGATTTATTTATATCTAAATATATCAAATAAATTAAAAAATATTGTAATGTATTAAATAATATTTATTAAATATAAATTGATGTTACAAATACCATTTAAGATTAAATATTTATTGTTTTAAATTAAAATATTAATAATTCTTAATATAGTTTAATGGATCACTTTTTTAGATAAGTTAGATTATACATAATTTGAATTTTTAAAAATAAAATGTTTTTTAATAAATTAATATCAATACAAACTGTCGATTATTATAAAAAAAATCAAAATTATTATCTTTTGCTCCGACATGTGATAAACATGTCATTTAGAATATCTTAAAAATATTTTCAATTTATTATTTTTTATTATAGGAATTGTGTTTTTATTATAAATAGTATAACATTAACCTTACAATAAAAAATTATGAATGAGTGAGTGAGTGCTGATAAAAGAAAGAAAGAAAGAAAGAGAGAGAGAGAGAGAGAGAGAGAGAGAGAGAGAGAGAGAGAGATGAGAGGTATAACCGGCGAGAAAATATGAGTTTATATTCAAGTGCTTAATCTGACACTCGAGTCCTTCCTTTGATTAGCGGATAAATTGTGTATTTAATGACACATTTGATGTAAAAGTTTAGTCCATTTATAAAACATGAATAACACTTAAGAGTTGTGAAGAATAGAAAATTCATTCGTGTTTTATATATTACTTATATTTAATGATTGATTTTTATATTAAAGATATAAATCTCTCTTTCTTATCCTATTACACACAAATATTACAGTAAGACATGCATACTRTATATATATATATATATAAACAAATAGATAGAGTCATAGAGTGGTATAATTTATTTTACTGTCATTTTAACACAAATTAGTATCAGTAAGTATAAGAATTTTTTATGAATTTTTTCTAATAAAAATTATGTTAATATTTACATTTTCAGATTATTAAAGTTTACTTATAAGATACTATTTGAATCTCTCTCTCTCTCTCTCTCTCTCTAATGTAATGTCCATAAATTTCTAATTAAATTATATTAGTTAATGTAACGGATTGTTAGTTTTGACTACAAGTTTATGATATAATATATATATATATATATATATATATATATATATATGAATAGTTTTATATATATATAGAGATACTTCTATGTATTTTAAGGCCAGTCGTTATTTAACTCTAAAACGGGCGACACGTGTAACTGTCGTGCCGTAAGTTCTATACATTTAATTATATTGTTTTTTAAGTTTATAATTAAGTTTTGCTTTTAATCGGACGGCTCTTGTAGTAGCCGTACCGTACAGTACTGTATATTAAATAATTATTTTGTTAATGTTAAGCATTTAAGTCGCTTAGTTATGTTATGTCACGGCAGGCCTACAGTATAGCAGAGCCGATGATAATATTGTGTTTAAGTTAATAATAATAAATAGTTTTGTTATTTGATTGCTGTCTTGTGTTGCTTATTGCCGAGTGTTTAGATGCCGACGGTTGGGATACCGATTGGCCAACATCTGAGTTCCCCTAACAAGCAGTTCAAACCTCTCCATTATAACCCACTGGGGGTTCGGGAGGTTTGCCTTAACCGCTTTATTAATAATGATATACTAAAATATAATTTATATAATTATTAATAGTAAAATATATTTATATTATTATAGTTATAGCAAATAATAGAATAAAAATATAATATTGTATCAATTTATAGTAAATAAACATGATATGTATCAATGAAACAATATTTACTATTTAATACAATAAAATATTGACCTTAACTTGCTTTACATTAAATTGCTACCAAAATGTGTGACATTGTATTAAATCATTTAATTAAACTTTTTTGTGTAATAATTAGGAAAGCATTTTATGTTGTATTCTCATTACATATATATATATAGTAAGTATTAGTTGATAAGAGTGTACAGTAATTTCTTTACTATTTTAGGATAAATCTAATAAATGATAAAAAGTAGTTTCGTTTGCCATTTGTTAGACATAAAACACATCAAACGGTTTGTCATCTCTTATTCTGTCTTTCACTGACTGTCTGTAATCCTATGCATTAGACTCTTAATACTGAAAACATTTAGACATTAAATATATACAGAATATATACTCATAAGAATGTGTAATACTGTTTATACAGTTTTTACGGTTTTCAATAACTCCCGGTCTATATGTATATGCTTTCAAATGAATTTTATTCAATAACAGGTATATTATAAGTGAAAAGTTTTATTTTTATACAAAAGTCCAACTCATGAAAGTCATATTATACAGCATATAGTGTTGATATTGTGCGTCTCGTTGTAGTTATTGTTGTTTATATTTGTAAGAATATTCTTTAAATCTTTTAACAAATCGACAAAAATTGTATAAACATTATGTAATACTATAAACAGTAAACAATGATAAATAACATTTACAACTGACTAACAAATTTTTATATATAAATAAAATGGACATTAGATTAAACAAGCTGTTAGTTATAAGAAACTTAATTTGAATTTTTTAAATTATCTAAAATTTAAAGTAGTATAGTCATTAGATTTAATAGATTAATTACTATATAATTCATATGTCATTTACTTTTACTGTATATTTTACATTTTACTAACACTAGTTTGTGTAATACTATACAGTATGTACAGCAGAATACATTATAATATTTTAATAATAATATATTATTAGAAAATAAAATTATTTTTGAAATATTTTTTTTATAGTTAAACACAACTGAAAAAATATGTTAAACTAATCATTAAAATTGTGTTTCATTCATACACTTAAATAACTTTGATATATTAATTATATAATATTATATTGTGTATACTGTATATATAATTTTTCTTATATCTTATGATTTCAATAATGTAAATGTTGTTATAAACACTGCAACTTACTTTATATTTATGGTTATATAAAATATCAAATAAAGTCAGAGAAATACTTTTTTTATGTATAAATACAACAACAAAATCACTTCATTTATATGCATTGAATATATAAAATCAAGTCATTTATCACAAAACTGTGTGGCGATTGGCTTCAATTCAATTAACTGTTAGAGTTGTCAGTGTTTTGTTGATATTATTTAGACTCATATAATTTATATATAGTAATATTCAGTACTAAATTATATTGTATATATAAAGTACAATACATATATATATGTATATTGAAATATATTTTTTGGCACTATTTCTAGTCACTTGCAGTGATAAATATACCATAAAAATTATCCATAAAATATTTTGACATTTTTTGTTGTTTTTTGTCTTATTTCTTTTAAGTATTTTCAGTTTAATTTAGCTAGTTCAAATTGATTTATTACTAATGTTTGGCAAATAGAAAAATACCTATAAATTTTCAAAGTAAACTTTCTTTTTTTTAAATAAAAAAGTTCTTTTAAAGCCATTATAACTATTAATATTAAAATTCTATTATAAAGTTAGGATAATATTAAGGCATTTGATTACAATCTTTGGGTTCCATTTGTAATCTATTATTAGATATACCGTATGATTCTATTGATATAAAATTAAAATAATATTTTTATTTTATAAATGTAAATATGATATTGAGGTTATTAATATAATATATTATAAATTGGTAATTATATTATTATATTTATGCTTAGTTTAATATTGCTAAAATATTATTATTTAAATTAAATTAGAAATTATCCTATATGTACAGTATTCATATATTGTGAATGTTATAAAAAATAATTAAAAAACATTACACTATTTATTGTAAACGTGAAGTATCAATTTTCTAAATTATAATAAAATTTAACAATTTTAACTTAAATTAAAATGTTTACTATAAATTATTTTTTGTTTAACTTATACATATGTATATTCATATAAATTATATATTAATAGATATATATATATATTTCTAAACTTTATATTGTAGATATATATACTGTTTCCCAAGACATACAATGTATATTATTTACTATATATAAAGTGAAATTTTAACCGAGAAAATTGCTTTTTACTCAAACTTTTTTTTTATCTCATCAGTACCTTTAAAATGCTGACCCACGGCTTAAACCGATAGAAAAACCTAAAATCTTTTTAAAATAATATTTTGTCAAACTTTGAATTCTCTCTCTCTCTCTCTCTCTCTCTCTCTCTCTCTCTCTCTCTCTCTGTCATATTTGCTTTAAGTTATTAATTTTAAATCTATTTTTGAAAATATTATCTATAACTTGTTATATTGAATATTGTTTGCTTATCATTTGATAACTACATTTTTATCCTTATTATATTAAGTTATTATATCTATTAAAAATAATGCTCTAATTTATGACGATTTATGCTATAAATAGTTACTACACTAAATATATAGAGACTATAAGTACACTATAGACAATATATTGATATAAATATAATGTAAAATACAATATAAATACATTCATATAATTGTTGACTGTAAAAACAAAGATAAAAATTGTATTTAAATGTGATTTAAATCAATATTATTAAGTTTAACGAAAAAATTACATAATTAGCAAAATACTAATTTATCAACTAATTATTATAATAAATACTAATTAATTATTGCACATGTTTGCAAAATTGTTACATTTAAATATATATTTTATTTTTAGGTGTTTCTATTATATTATTTGTATAATTTGTATGTTAAAATTATTATTTTATAATTTTAATTACAGATATTGATTTTAGAGATATTATTAAAAATATGCAAAAACTTATAATTTATCAGTTATTCATTTTTTTAATTTTACTCTAAAATGTGAAATTAAAAAATAATTTTATTGTACAAAGATAATTAATGTCTGTTTGCAATAAAAATTAATATATAAATAAATATAATTATTTGTAAAATATTTTTTAATTCTGTCTTTATGTTTAACCAAAATATTAACACTTATAATATAACTATAGTTTTTGTATAAAATTAGTTCCAATTATTTATTCACATCTATTATATAATTATAAAATTAAAAAAATATTGTTATGTGTAAATCAAACGAGAGATAATCTAATAATTATTTTCAAAGTATTAATATAATTATTTTTGTTAATTTTACAGTAATTTGCAATTTTCATAGTACAGTATATAATTATATTAGTGAAAAATATATATTTTTAATTTTAAATAAACTCTATGTTTAAAGTCAATATAATAATTTTTAAAAACTAATATAAAGCAATATAACATAATTAAACTTTATGTACTTTAAATTTTTAATTTTATTTTTCAATAATATATTATTTATTTATATACTATTGTAGTATACATACATGTACTGTATAATATGTATGATATATAGGGCAACAGTTACTATGATTTATAAGTAAAATCACACACTTATCACACCATATGTTATAACTGATAGTGTGATGCATACAATTGCTATTGAATTGAGTTTATTTGCTGTTTGCCATATTAGATAATATCAATAGTGGCAAATATAAATTTATATACACTGTGAATATCATAATATATAATGATTCAATTCAAATGACAGTTATATCAATAGAAAAGATCACATTTTCTATAATAAGATGTGAACTATAAAAGTAAAATCAATTCAAGTGATGTCTTTTCCTATTCTATATCAATCTAAACCTATATATAAAGTAATAATAATAATAATAATAACATCAATAGAAAAGTGAATGCAATACAAAAATTGCAATCAAATTTTGGACCGACTTTTTCAGCGCTCATTACAGTATATTCACAACCATTGCATTGTGAATACAAAAGGCTATGTATAGTAATGCACTACTCATTGATCTATGAATTCATCAAATCATTTATTATATAATATTCAAATGTCAAGTCATATGAAATTTTATTTAATTCAATTTTATTAGCAATTTAAGTTCAATCGTTAAAAATAGGTAAAGAATTTTATATATAATATACTATAAATTTTTAAAAGTCTGTTATTGTAAATCTTTTTATTATTTATTTATTGAATAATATCTTAATTACAGTACATCTCTTATAAAAATTAAATAAAATTGATTATAACTAAAGTTTAAGCTGAATGTCATAATTTAATTAATTATTTATAGATGTTTTAGTTGTTAAAAATTTATAATTATCCATCAAAGTTTATAACACTTTTATTAATTACATTTACAGTAATATATAAAACAAAAAAGAGTATTTTGATTAACACCATTAAAATTAAATTATCCATTAATATATAAAATAAATTTAATAGTATGATTGTCAGTGTAAAGCAATAATGATTTTACTGTAATTTATATCAAAACTTATTTTTAAGAGTTTCAGTACTGCTATTATCTTAATATTATATAATACAGTATACTGTATATGATCTGTAATATATCTATACTTTATATGACTTTATTGTGGTTTTATTAACAAAAATTTACTACTTTTAGTCAAAAGTAGTAACTAATTGATGATCTAAAAGCATTAAAAACTATATGTATATAAGTTATATATTACTTTATATGAATGAACATTACATTACGAGTCAAATTTATTCACAATTTTTATATGATTTACTATAAAGTTAAAATTGTAAATATTTTGTTTTAATTGTATGACTAAA